TGGGGCTTTTTTGGAACCGTTGGGGGACCTCTGGGGAGGCCTCTCGGGGCCCTCGTGGGCCTCTCGTGGGTCCTGTTGGGGCGGTCTGATGCGTCTCTTGGGGTCGTCGGGGCCCAAGAACTCAAACGAGGGGGGGATCAGACTTTCCCCTCGCCCCCTCGGAGGCTCCAGCATCGCCTCGCCCGGCCCTGTGGGGCCGCTTTTGAAAGGGACCGCCATAGGGGCCGCTTTGCGCCTGCCTTGGGACTTGATATAGGGCCCTTCTGGGGCCATCCGGAAGCCCAAGAGGCCCATCGGCAGCGAACAAGTTAGACATCCAGACATATGGCTTGTCCTTGGGTTTCGGAAGATTCTGGTCTTTTGGGAGGTGTCCTGGGGAGGGGGCGAGGGCGGAGTGGCACTTGTAGCTGTCTTGGGGCGTCTTGGAAGCTTGTAGGAGGCTATCTGGAGCGATGTGGAGGTAATTGAAGCCATCTTGGAGGACCTCTTCGTTAGACCACTGAGCCCAGAGGGCTGGTGGGACTGTAAGACGATGTGCATTGCGCTAAGGCTGGGGCCCCACTTCGAAGAGGGCCAAGCATCCATCCGTGCAGTTGTGAGAAATTCTAAGCTTCAGGTGATTGGATATGGGGCAGTCCGCAGCGAAACGCCCAGGCTGGCCTACGGACACCCCTCTTGGCCGAACAGGGAGCGGTGATGTATGAGGGAATGGGGTGCAGGAGGAGGAGGAGGAGGAGGAGGAGGAGGATACAATTAGCCTGGCGAAGGACCCAACCAGATGCAGCTGTAAGCACCGCATCCGTGAGTATCGTCTTCGGTGGAGCTCCCTCTAGGGCCACGAAACGCCGGACTGGGTGGCGCGGGACGCATCTGAACACAGCCACTGGAGCCTTCGCTGGAGCTCCCGAAGGGGCCACCACGAAACACCTTATCGGGTGGCGCGGGACGCGTGTGAACACAACCACTGGGGCCTTCGCTGGAGCTCCCTGTGGGGCCACGAAACGCCGTACTGGGTGGCGCGGGACGCATGTGATCACAGCCACTGGGGCCTTCGGTGGAGCTCCCTATGAGGCCGCGAAGCGCCGTTCTGGGTGGCGCGGGACGCATGTGAACAAAGCCGTTGGCGCATTCAGTGGAGCTCCCTCTGGGGCCACGAAGCGCCGTACTGGGTGGCGCGGGACGCATGTGATCACAGCCGCTGGGGTCTTCGGTTGGCTTCCCTATGGGGCCATGAAACGTCATACTGGGTGGCGCGGGACACATGTGGACACAGCCACTCAGGCCTTTGCTGGAGGTCCGGGCCCATTAAACGCCGTACTGGGTGGCGCGGGGCTCATGTGAACACAGCCGCTGGGGCCTTCGGTGGAGCTTCCCAGTGGGCCACGAAGCGGCGTACTGGGTGGCGCGGGGCGCATGTGAACACAGCCGCTGGGGCCTTCGGTGGAGCTTCCCAGTGGGCCACGAAGCGGCGTGCTGGGTGGCGCGGGGCGCATGTGAACACAGCCGCTGGGGCCTTCGGTGGGGCTCCCCAGTGGGCCACGAAGCGTCGTACTGGGTGGCGCGGGACGCATGTGAGCACAACACCTGGGGCATTCAGTGGAGCTCCCTGTGGGGCCACGAAACGCCGTACTGGGTGGCGCGGGACGCATGTCAACGCAGCCGCTGAGACCTTCAGTGCAGCTCCCTCTGGGGCCACAACACGATGTACTTGGTGGCGCGGGACGCATGGGACACAACATCTGGGGCCTTCAGTAGAGCTCCCTCTGGGGCCACGAAAAGCCGTACTGGGTGGCGCGGGCGCATGTGAACACAGCAATTGGGGCCTTCGCTGTAGCACCCTTCGGGGCCGCGAAGCGCCGTACTGGGTGGCGCGGGACGCATGTGAACACAGCCGCTGGGGTCTTCGTTTGGCTCCCCTATGGGGCCACGATGCACCGTACTGGGTGGCGCGGGACGCATGTGAACACAGCAACTGGGGCCTTCGTTGGAGCTCCGTGCGGGGCCACGAAGCGCCGCACTAGGTGGTGCGGGACGCATGTGAACACAGCCGCTGGGGCCTTTGGTTGGCTTCCCCATGGGGCCACGAAGCGCCGTACTGGGTGCGGGGGGCAAAGGCACGGATCGGAGTAGGACGGATGGGGAGGAGGAGGAGGAGGAGGAGGAGGAGGAGGAGGAGGATGAGAGGAGGAGGAGGTTTCGAGGAGGAGTAACGCGGGGCGCTGTCTCTTCAAATCGAGGACCCAACACTTGGGAAAAAGCAGGCGATGGAGGAAGCGGAGGATTGGGGAGGAAGACGGCGACAACGATGACGACAGGAGTCACCAATGAATTGTTGTTGTTGATCTTTCACCCTGAGAGCTTTCTAGAGGCTTCTGGGAGCCATATTGGATCCTCCTGGGGCCATTTTGGGAATGTGTGTAGCCCCCGTTGAGGGCCTCTTGGAGCTTTCTGGAGGGCCTTTTGTGCCCTCCTTGCGCCATCTTGGAAGACATCCATCACACGGTGGGGGGTCCTTAATTTCCCCCCCTCCATCGGAGCCAGGGATCTCATCTCTTGGAGCCTTTTTGGGACTCCGTTGGGCGCTCCAGGAGCATCGTAGAACAGGTGGAGAGATACTTTCGAAACACACACTCAGGAAGCCTCCACGTGGCCCCATCTGGCCCCAAGAAGCGGAGACAGCGATACCCAGTATGCCCAGATCCCGAGAAAGCAAAACAACACGATGTTTATGTGTGCCGGTTTTTGTTGTTCTTCCCCGACGGGCCCGGGACACGCGGGTTTCCAAGGGTACTCGAAGATCGCCCAAGAGGCCCACGGGAGTGCTGCACCACAGCCTACAGTCAACCCGCATGGTAAGGATGGGCAACCTTCCCGAGGCTACCCGTGCATTCTTGCCTCCTCGGCCCATCCTTGGCCACTTCCGCGGGCAGACCTCGTTCGAAAAACGTTGGCACGGGCCTCCAAGGCCTTTTGCATCGTGATCGTTTTTGTTATTCATTGTTTTGCCGATCGGCGCGGGCCCCAACCCCCCCCCCCCCGTTGGAGTAGAGTTTAGCTGCTTTCTGGCGCCTGTTTCGAGCGGGCGGAGTCTCCCCCAGAGGCCGCACTGCTGCACACTCTGGCAGCAAGCAGAGGTCCAGAGCCAGACTTCCCCCCCCCTTCCGCCCAATGCCGAAGCGCCGAATAAGAAAACGCTGACATCCTTACCGCGCATCCTCATGATACGGGTTGACTGTTAACCTTGGAAAGGAGACCTTGGAAAAGGCCAGCAGTGTTCAGCGTCCCGGGCGCGAAAGAGGTCCAAAGGAGTGGGCCCGAGGCCCCTGGATGTCCAAAGCAGTGCCTCAAGAGGCCCTCGAAGTCCTACAACCTGCGTTCGAACTGTACCACGGAGGTTACCGAGCCCCTCCGGCCCATCCTCAGCGACTTTCGCTGGCCGCGCCCCGCTCGAAAAGCTTCGAGATGGTCCTCCAAGGCCCTTGCATCCTTACCGCGCATCCTCATGATACGGGTCATCTTTGAGACCCGTTTCTTTTTGCCTTAAGTCGGGCTTGTCCTTCTACAGGATGAATATTCAAAAATAGTTGAGAAATAGTCTGGGGACGATTTTTTGATTGTTTTTGAATATTTGGGGGGCATTTTCGGAATATCGTTTTTTTTCGCCCAAATTCCGTGTGTAGGGGGACACGCCCGACTTTTTTTGTCGCTCAAGTGACGGTCCACCCGCAGTCGGCCAGTTCGTGGCCCATGTGCTGGCTCTCGCTGTGATGGCGTCACTCTCGGCCGCCGGAGGCGACGGCATGTAGGGCAGGGCTAAGTCGGGCGCGTCCCTCTACAGGAGGAGCACTTAGGAATAGCAAAAAATACTCGGGGGACGATTTTCCGAGTATTTTTGATCATGTTGGTGTATTGTTTGACTGTTTTCCATTTTTCGTCCATAATCTGACTGTACGGGGACAGGCCGCACGTAAATGTAGGCGAGGGGGAGGGGCGGACTCCTGCTCGAGAGGGGGAGAGGTGGGCTGGAAGCGAGAACTTCTTGAGCCACAGTCAGACCGAGATATTCAGGCGATCGCAAACATGGAGAGAGAGAGAGAGAGCACAAAGGCGATGCCAGGACCCTCGCGTTGAGCCAGATGTTGCAGCCCTCCTCCTCTCCCCTCCTCTCCCCTCCCTCCCCTCCCTCCCCTCCCCTCTCTCCTCCCCTCCTCTCCCCTCCCTCCCCATCCCTCCCCTCCTCCTCTCCCCTCCCTCTCCTCTCCCCTCCCTCCCCTCTCCCCATCTCCCTTTCCCTCCTCTCCCCTCCCCTCTCCCTCTCCCCTTCTCGCTCAGGCGATCGCAAACATGGATTGAGGGGGCGTGTATTAGCGATGGGTCCAGTTTCCACAGGAAATCGCGGATTCACGCCGCTGAACGAAGCGGCACCGGCCGCATTCTGGGGAGGACACCTCCCCCGATCCATAAATTTGGCGACCGCCCGCCAAATCCATGGGTCGCTAATCCAGATCTGCGCGCCCCCGAGAGAAGCGGGTCGGAAGAGAGGGCTTCTTGAGCTACAGTCGGACCGAGATATGAGATCGAGGTCGGGTCGGGGAGGGTACCCTAGTGTTCTTCGTGTCTGCGGGACGTCCTTGTGCATCTTGGGGAGGGTACGATTCATGCCCAATGTGTGTTCTGACGGGCGGAGGGTCTCATGCTCTCCAGGGACGCCCTTCTGGCCCGGGTCCGACTGCATGCGGGCCGGAAGAGAGAGATTTCCTTGCGTTGCCGTCGCCCACGGGGCTGGTGAGATGCGCCGCTGGGCTCGCCGCGGCTCCCTGACCCCCTCCGGGGGCTCCTAGGGGCCCAAAGAATATCCACCACCACCACGACGATTCCTACTCTCTCCTCTTTCCAGCGAGAGGGAGGGGGGGAGGGAGGCGGTGGTGGTGTACATGTTTGCGTTTCTCTCTCAGGTGGGCGGGCAGAAGCGGGGAAGGGGCGCGTCGGCCGCGCCGCAGGATCTCATGGTGCAGATCTTCCAGCGGCTGCTGGTCCCCCTGGGGGAGGAGCACCCGTTCTCGTGCGTCTCCTCCGACCTGACGGCGGGGCCGCGCTCTGGGCGGTCTGCCGTCGAGCGGCGCAATGCTGTCTGGCAGCGTTTTTTTTCGCTTTTTCGGTGCGCGATGGATGCGGCTGCCCTCGAGCGTTGGAGCCTCACGGGCCTGTGTGTTCACTGATGTCAAGTCCGTGAGCCTTGCGATGCTTGCGCGGGAAGGGGAGAGGTGGAGTTGAGAGAATCAACGGGGGGCTGGAGCCGAAGAGGAAGGCGGAAGGGGCACTTGGGCGCTGCGTAATGGGGGTTTCATAAATGGGGGGGCGGCGAGTGTGGTTCGAAAAGGTACCCAAACGGTACCTAAACGAGCCCCCTGGGGCTCTGGAGGGGCCCGAAAGGGGCACGAAAGGGGACCTTTTCTGACCCCCCCATTTGTGACCCCCCCATTAAGTCATGCCCAAGGCACCGCAGTCGACTGGGCGAGTTGCGCTCACCCCCCCCCGCTACAGAAGGGATCCCAGCGGCAACACCGTGCTTTTCGAGCTGCGGCAGTGAAGACGACGAACTATCCTCGCAGGTTCGTGCGTTTTCTGCGTTCTCAGTCGGCCACCAGGGCTAGTACGCGGCCGAGTGTCTCGTCGTCTGCACCGAAGTCGTCGTGGTCCGCTTCTGCGCCCCCGCCGGTCGCCGCAACCTTGGGTCCAGGGTTCGTGGTGTTGCATTGCGTCCACTTCTCAAGGGCGGCGTTAGGGGGGATGGGCTACGGGGGAGATGCTTTGACCCCCCATCGCCCATCCATCGCCGACAGGGGCGCGATCGGGGGCCCATCGCCAATCAATCGGCTGCGCATTGCAGATGGCAAGGCGATGCTTCCCCCCTGAGCTGGTCCCCCAGCCGAGCTACCCCCCTCCCTAAGCTGGTCACCCCCTGACGCCGCCCCTCACGCCTCCTCGCGGAAGAGGTGCGACTCCCTGCACGTCGCTGCTCCTAGCAGGCCAACCAGTCGCGAGTTGGTAACGCAATGGTGAAGCATCTGGCGTCCGAAGAGCTTCTGCAGCCTCGTTGGAGCTCTCTTTCTACGCAGACATATATCATTAGGCTGAGAGAATTGTTCCAGGGGCAACGATGGGGGGGGATAGACATGGGTTAGGGGGGGATGCATCGACCCCCAATCGCCCATTGATCCCCGATAGGGGCCCGACAGCCCCAACCTGCCCAGGAAGATGCGGATTCACGATCGGAGGCATATCGCCGATCTATTGGCGATGTATCGCCCATTCCAGGTGGGTGCATCCCCCCTATGCTAGTCCCCCCTATCGTTGCCCCTCATTGTTCTCAGGCGAGACGTCCAGAATCCAGTTGGATCCGATGTTCAGGGTGTGAGTCGTGAGAGTACAGTGGGCCCACTGTCTTTCTCTTCCGGGTGTCCTGCGTTCTGGTGGTTGCCTCTAGGAGGGTTCGGTAGCAAATCATGGGAGGCTGTATACCCTCTACATTCCATCTGTAGCGTCGACTAGCGTCGATTAGCGCCTGGGGGTCGATGAGGTGGCCCCGACTTAGCGTCGGCTCGCGTCGATTAGCGTCGGTTTGGCGACGATTCGCGTCAGCCGGCAAGTTGGTGTGGCAGGCTCCCATGAATTGCCACCGAAGGAGGGGTATGACAACTTGTGATGTTCCCATTTACTTTAGCCCTGATCACCAGATAGAGTTTCGAGTACCAAGAAAGTACTGAAACTGGAGGGTCTTCACGTGTCGGGCCCTGGGAGGTGATTCTCCTTCGACACCATTTCGCTACTGTTCTGGGTGCTCGAAGTTATTTCTGCGATGTGGTTTTTGAGTACGATGGGATCAATTACTGTACCAACGGGGGGGAAAAGGCAGCGCACCATCCGCGCACCTTCGGGGCACCGGGGGAACCTATGGCACCAGAAAAAAAAACCCAACCAGTGGATGATTTGAAATGGGATCGGTAAGGACATCGACTGGGAGCCAGGCCAGCCAGCGGGATTTGTTCGCCTAATCTTTCAGTTTCCGCTAGGACTCCTTCAGTGCAAGCTCTGGTTGGGGAACAAAGCTCAGGGGAGCTACGAAGGAAAACCCAGAAGCAGCAACACGCGAAAGGCAACGCAGCATGCTTTCAAACAAACCCTTGAGAACGCAGACCCCCTTTAACTAGTCCCCCGAAGCCGCCCCCCCTCCTTCCGGTCCTCTCTGGCGCCACGCGCCCTGGCTTGTCGCAGGCTCCCTGCCTAGGCACCGTCCTTGTGGATGCTTCCATGCTCTGTGCTGGGCTTCACAGTTTTGCTCCCCAGCGGTTCAGTGCCGTTGAATTGTGATCGTTCTCTTATTCATTGCTTTTTTCCGATCGGCGCGGGCCCTCGCACCCCCACCCCCATGGAGTAGATCTTAGCCGTTGTTGGCGCCTGTCTCGAGCAGGTGGAATCTCCCCCAGAGGACGCACAGTTCCAAACAGTCACATTTAAACAGAGGTCCAGAGCCAGACCCCCCCCTCCCCCCCCCTTTCCGCCCAACGTCGAAACGCCGAATAAGAAAACGCTCACATGAGGCCGCGCTCATGCTCGGAAACTGGAACATATACATTACCAGTGGCGGGCTGTTTTTCAATCCCAGGATTTTTTTAGGGTCGGGGACGACGTCGGGGTGGTGTGGTGTATGCTTGTTTTCCCGTTTTCTCGTGGAAACAACAAAACATGTATATTGCAGGATGCCATCCATATACTCTATCATCAGCGTTTTCGTGCGAACCTCAGCGCGGGAACGGACAAGAAGCATCGGGGTAGAAAGTTCGGCTCCTCACATGCCACCCTCCCACCACGCCAGCCCTCTCTGGCGGGAGCCCCTGCCGGCGCCCCAGCTGGGGCGGCCGGGCCTCCCGCAGTCTCGCATCGGCCGCCCGCCGCACGACTGGAAGTTCATCCGGCAGGCGGTCCGCGAGCTGGTCTCGGGGCAGGCCCCCTGCCGGGCCCGCCGGCCGGCCGGCCCGGCGGCCTGCACGGAGGATCGTCTTCGAGGTTTGCAGGGCGGCGCTTCCGCGCCTCGCAGGGGGGCCTGGGTGGAGGGTCTCTCCGAAGGGCCTGGGCGGCCCGTCCTCCGTCCTCCTCCTCCTCCTCCTCCTCCTCCTCCTCCTCCTCCTCCTCCTCCATCTCCTCCTCCCCCTCCTCCACCTCCTCCTCCTCCTCCTCCTCCTCCTCGGGTTGCCTACGCACCCGGGGGAAACCGTGCACTCGCAGGAGGGCCCTGGGGTGTTTCCGAGCCTCCAGGCGCACAGTGGCCCCTGGAAGCGACCGAGCAGTCTTGTTGCAGTGCTCGTGTTTTGCAGGTACAGCCGGCTTTGCACCGCCGTTTTGCCGCTTGCGCTGCTCGCTGTGGGGGCCAGGAGGAGGAGGAGGAGGAGGAGGAGGAGGAGGAGGAGGAAGAGGAGAAGGCGGAGAAGGAGGAGGAGGAGCAGGAGGGGGAGGAGGAGGAGGAGGAGGAGGAGGAGGAGGAGGAGGAGGAGGAGGAGGAGGAGGAGGGGGAGCGCTTTGGAACGCTTTGCTCGCGGACTCCCGTCCTACACTACTTCCTGCTTGCAGACATCTGCTGTCAGTCTGAAGAGTCTGACTCCTCCTGCGTGGCCCGCTGGTCAAAATTCTGCGGCTGTCCTCTGGCAGCCGCCAACAATCTCTGAATCTTCGCTTGCGTCTGGAGCTCCTTGGCCTCCTGACGTGACTGCTCGGGGTCTTGCCCGTCATTGCGGGCGCGGGCCACGGCAGGAGGCTCGGCAGGGGCCCCCACAGGCTCAGGCAGCACACTCCCCCTGGCCTCGTGGGCCGACACGACACGACTATCATCTCTCTGAGCCATTGCCATTTTGATGGCTCTTGGGGGGCCTTCCCGCCGAGGAAACAAACCGAGATCAATTCTGCGCAGATTCTCTGCCCCGTTCGGGGTGAGACCGTCACATTTTATCTGCAGGTGCCTCGAGTCCACCGTGGCATACTTCCCGCACAGCGAGCAAATCTGAAGGAACCAGTGATCAACAAGCGTGATCGAGTGAGACGGGTGGATCTCGAGGTCTACTCCAACCATTGGTTTGAACACAGGGGCCGCAAGGCCGCTTTTCCCAGGGGGACCAGAACACGCAGAAACCGAGAAACGCAAGAATCTGGCCCCTGGGACAATCAACTCACACTGCGCGCATCTCCACTTGCTACCTACTTTCTCGAGCTGGTGAGACGAGGATTTGATAATTCTCTCCTGCTTGGAGAGGTTCTTGACTGTTGGGGCTCTGCTGCCACGCTCTCCCGGCTGTGCCGAGGCGGCCAACGCGAGCTCTCGTCTAGCTCTTTTGCGCACCAAGTGCGCGACTGAATCGATTCTGTCCGTGTCAGGGTTCCCCCCCACCAGATATCACGGTTTCTCCAGGATAACGCGACCGTCCGATGGTCCGTGACAAAAGTGAAATCAGTGAGGCATTCTTCCAGCGCCACCGCAAAAGCTAAAATCTCAGATCGGGGAACCGTTTGCCTCCTACCCGTGAGAGGTACAGCGAGGGCTCGACTGACCTCCCACTCTCCTTCATGAAAGCGGGTAGTTGCAATTCCTGCTCCACATCGGCGGCGACGGGGGTCAAACGAATATCAGCCCCCCGAGCCGTCGCCAAAAATGTGGATTACGCCGTTAAATCTGCACTCCTCCCAGTCCCCCCAATCACCAAACCGAACCTCCCTCCCCTCGAGTTCCTCATCATTAGAAAAGGAGTGGGTGAGAGAGGCTGGCGGCAGTCCTCGCAGCCAAAGTGCAGGCTGCGACTCCGCCTGCGCCATGGCCGCAGGCACCAGGGACTCAGTCTTTGGGAAATCCTCGTGGTCCGTGTTCTTCGGGCAGAGCCATATTCTGTGCATGAGTGTCTCGTCTGCCTCCGTGCACCTGTCGCACAGCTTGCTCTCCAGAAGGTACCCTTGTTCTGCTGCTCGAGTCTTGTGCCACTGCCCGCCTGCGACCACCGTGATGTTCAAGCCGATCATGTCTAGGTGCCCCCCCTTCTCGAAGCGGCGCTGCTCTGCCCGAATGTGCCATACATCTGCACCTGCTTCCAGACCTTCTCCATTTGGATGTGCTGATGCAGATCGCCAACGTTGCCCTCTTATGTCGTGCTCGAAATCGTCCACTAGCTGCTGGAAGCACCCTGTCTGCTCGAAGTTGCCGTCCAACGCCGGCGGTATATCCCATTGTTCTGCCATATCTTCGTCTTCACCGACTGGCCGAGACCATGTAGTTGCCTTGGGAGCGTACCAACCCACGTCCATCAGCGTAGCCTGTACTTCTCCGACTGGCCCTCGTACTCCACGCCATCTCTTCGGTCCCAGCTTGACCAGTCTCGTGCGGATGAGCGGCCACGCTTTGACGACCCTGGAGTGTATCTCTGGGGACCGCTGCCACATGTTGATCCACGCCTTGATTACCGCCACGCGTACTGCAATGCCAGGGTCGCCCGTCCACATCTCCACCGCAAGTGTTGTCGTTAGGCATCTCCCGCGAGCCTTGCCTCCCGCAACTGGTCCTGCTTCTCTGCGAAGCCTTTGAAACTCGTGTAGTGCCAGAAAGTCGTGTAGTGCCAGCCCGAACGCCTGGTGTCCCTATACCGCTTGTGGTACCGCTCCTGCGCTCCATAGTCCTTTGCTTTCTCTGGCCAGGGCCGCCAGTCGACGCAGGCTGTCGATCTTTGCGAAGCGGTGCTTGGCTATCTTGCTCCTCTGCTTCGCCTTCGTCGTGACTCTCTTTCTCCCTGCTGCCGTGCCCAGGCCCAGGTCGACCGCCTCCGTGACCGCTTGTACAGGTATTAGTTGCTTCCTCATCTCCTCCGCCACCCTCTGCACATCTTTGTGGTGAGTGCCGATGAGGGTTGATTTGCTCGAGATCGCCATCCTCTGCTCCTTGAGGCCGTCCGTGATAATCTGGGTCACGTGCTTGATTCCATCGCCTACCGTTTGTCTGCTTCCTTCTTGGCGTGTCACTGTATCGTCTACGAACGTCCATAATGACGCTTGTTGTGCTTGCCGGTGCGCTCGATCCAATCTTGGATGAAGGGGTAACTTGGCCAACCCTACTCCTCTTGCCGAGCCTGCCGCCAGCGAACGCGTTGTCCAAATCGGCTCGCTGAGAATGCTCCGCTCTTGTAGGAACCTGGGACCGATGAGTGCCGTAATCTCAAGCGCCACCATTGCCGCTGGAACGCCAACCTTGAACGCTATCTGACATAATATGACCAGTGGCACTGTGTCGCAAAACTTCTCTATGTCCAAGAGGAGCCTCATGGCCGAGGCTCCGAGCTCAGCTCCAGCCTCGTCTGGTACAGCTCGAAGCAGACCAGCTCGTAGCGCCGAATTGTCTTTACGTGCCGTGCCCCAGTGCGCTGAGAGCGAGCCACTCCATCTTGCACGACATCCACCTCTCGCTCTCGACCAGAGCTTCATCGGGAGCGCCCGCATGCCGAGTACGCTATCTCCTCTTCTCGGTGTTGCTGCCAGCGCACACTTCGTAGCTGCCCATTGTCTCGGGCATCGCCCACAGGGCCCCAAGGAGGCTTCCTTCTCCTACTCCTCCACGCCGATCCCCATCTCCCTCCTCATTCTTACACCTCCTCTTCCTCCTCCTCGTCCTCCTCGACTTCCTCCTCCTTCCCTTCTTTATCCTCACCCCCACTTCCACCATCATCCATCATCAACAGACTTATCATCAGCCATCGGCCTCTCGCCACACGCCTCCCTCCCGTGCCCTTGCCGCCCGCCTCTTCTGTGAGGGGGTGCGGGTCGGGCCTGGAGGTGCAGTGGCTCTCAGGCCTGACCTCGCTCACGGCTCGGCCGCTTTGGGCCTGCCATCCATCGCTCGAGGACAAGGAGGAGGAGGAGGAGGAGGAGGAGGAGGAGGAGGAGCTCGGCCACGCGCCAGGAGGAGGAGGAGGAGAAGAGGAGGAGGAGGACGGGGGGTAGAAAGAGGGAGGGGGAGGAGGAAGAGGAGGAAGAGGAGCAGGAGGAGGAGGGGGAGGAGGGGGAGGAGGAGGGGGAGGAGGGGGAGGAGGGGGAGGAGGACGAGGAGGAGGGAGAGGCGGAAGAAGGGGAGGAACGGGAGCGGCGGAGGAAAGGAGGCGGCGGAGGGGGGCGAGGAGGCCAGACGCCGCGTGCCCGCGCCGCAGAGGCCCACGGCGGCGGGCGGAAGCGGAAGGCGAACAACCAGGGCGGCGATTGGCAGGCCGGGAAGAGGACCGGGCGGGGCGGGCGGCGGCCGGGCGACGTTTGGGGCGTGTGGCTCAAGCAGTGGCGAAGCGTCCATGGCGTGTCTAGAGGGCTAGCAAACTCAGCCACGCGCAGATGGGGGTGGGGGGAGGGGGGGGGGCTTCTTAGAAGACCCTGCTTCTTAGAAGGCGCGGGCCTTATCTATAGATGTAAGGCTGGCGCCTTCTAGCAGCTGCTTCTAAGAAGCCCTCCCCCTCCCCCCACCCCCTTGTGCGCGCCGCCAACAAACTGTTATAAGAGCGTTTTGGGATTTTCACAACATGCTCTCACAGAGCAGTTCTGGCCTGAACTGTCTTGTGCTAACGTCGACTAGACGTAAGAGTGGCCTTTCGCCGGAGTGACCTTTGGTGCGGGCACAGATGGGTCCCCAGATGGCTGAGAACAAGGCAGGAACAGCGGCTTGCGCGCCCAGGTTTGGCCCCCCCCCCCGCGGCCCCCAAAAAGCCGCGCACCAAAGGTCACTCTTACCCAGGGTCAATCTTGCGTGTAGCCGATAACGCATCGGGCTTACAGTGGGGGCGCGCACCCAGAAGCCAGATGGTTATTCGTCAGGGCATCTCGGGTTTCTTCGCTCCGCGCGGCCCGCGATGGTTGCCCGCGGGCGTCAAGAAACTCTCGCGTTCAGGAGACCCCGGGTTTCCTCCCAATTCCACCTCGCGGAAGCAACGCCCTGCCGCCGAAGAAACCTCGTTGCGCCGAAGGTACCTTGAATTTCTTGCGTATTGTCCTGGCGTGACCCGCGAAGAAACTCCTCGGGCCAAGGTTCCCTGGGTTTCTCCGCTTCGAGCCCCTGGCCAAGACACCCAGACCCTGGGCTAGAAACTTTGGGGATCTCCAGGGCTGGGTTTCTTGCGACGGTTTCTTGCGGCCGTGCGCCCGCTGTATGTTCTAGGAAGATTGCTTGTGTTCTACGAGCATGCTTCGGTTCTAAGAACATGCCGTGGTAGGCCTATAGGAATGCGGGGGACGGTCGCTCCCGGCTCAAGTGGCGCGGTGCCGCGGCTGGGAGGGCGTAGCTCGCTGGCCCTCGGGCTGACCGTGGCTCGTCTGGGTCTCGCGGAGATCCGCGGACGACGTGTGCCCAGACAGATTCGCGCCGTGGACAAAATCAGGGCGTGAGGTTTTTGGTAGGTTTGGGCCTCTGGGCGCCCTTACCGAGCCCCGGGGCCATTGGGGAACGACTTGGCTCGTCCGGGTCTCGCGGAAATTGATGACGTCCCAACCTACTTCTAGCCTTGATCACGAGGAAGAATGTCGAGCCCCCCCAAAAGTACCGAACATCCATGGTTTTCACGCGTCGGGCCCTGGGAGACACTCGTCCGACACTGTTTCGACACTGTTTCGACACGTTTCCGGGCGCTCGAAAGTCAGAGTGAGGGGGCCGAACGGTCATTCATTGTCCCTGGGTGCGTGGCTGAAGTGAGATTCCGCGGTGCGGATTCGTGTTGTTGTTGTTGTTGTTGTTTGTTGTTGTTGTTTGTTGTCGTCGTCCCACCCGCAACCCGCCCCGCGACCCACCCGCGACCCACCCCGCGACCCCACCCGCGACCCACCCCGCGACCCACCCGCGACCCACCCGCGACCCACCCGCGCGACCCACCCGCGACCCACCCGCGACCCACCCGCGACCCACCCCGCGACCCACCCCGCGGCCCACCCCGCGACCCACCCGCGACCCACCCACCCGCGACCCACCCCGCGACCCCGCCCGCGCCCACCCCGCGACCCACCCGCGACCCGCCCGCGACCCACCCGCGACCCACCCGCGACCCACCCGCGACCCACCCCGCGACCCACCCGCGACCCACCTTCGACCCAAACCACGTTCAAGGTACAAACCAACATTTTCGGCGCCTGCGGCGGGCTTTTTTTGCATTCCTTCCAGGTGGAGAGCCCGCGACCCACCCCGCGATCAACTCGCGACCAACCCGCGACCCAAACCACGTTCAGGGTACAAACCACATTTTTCGGCGCCTGCGGCGGGCATCTTTTGAATCGTTCTAGGTGGAGAGACCGCGGCCCACCCGCGACCACGTTCAGGGTACAAACCAATTTTTTCGGCGCCTGCGGCGAGCATTTTTTGCATTCGTTCCCGGTGGAGAACCCGCGGCCCACCCGCGACCCAAACCACGTTCAGTGTACAAACCAATTTTTTCGGCGCCTGCGGCGGGCTGCTTTTGCAGGAGGACGAGGAGGGAGGAGGAGGAGGAGGAGGAGGAGGAGGAGGAGCAGCAGGAGGAGGAGCAGCAGGAGGAGGAGGAGGAGGAGGGAGGGGACGACGACGATGACGTCGACGACGACGACGACGAAAAGGAGGAGGGTGGAGGATCGGGAGGGGGGGAAGAGGAGGAGGACGACGAGGAGGAACATGACGACAATGGGAGGACGATGATGGAAGGACGAGGGGGGAGAGGGAGGACGAGGAAGAAGCGGAGGAGGAGGAGGAGGAGGACGAGGTGGAGGAGGAGGACGACGATGACGATGAGAACGAGGACGAGGACGAGGAAGAGGAGGAGGAGTAGGAGGCGGAGGAGGAGGAAGAGGAGGAGGAGGAGGAGGAGGAGGAGAGCGCCATCGACAAGGAAGGTGGGGGCCACGAGGTCCGCCGGCTTGACGACGCCCGCGTCGCCCGCGCCCGCCCCCTCACTCTTATCCGCAATTGCGGGGTGCTATATATTTCTAGGATGTGGTCTTTAAGCACGACGGCAGCAGCACAAGCAGAGATCCATGCCGTGGACAACATCAGGGCGGGAGGTTTTTTGTCAGTTTTGGGCTTCTGGGCGCTCTTACCGAGCCCCGGGACCATTGGAGAACGGCTCGCGAGGAAAATTTGGCCCAGGGGGAAGGGTGGGGGCTTCCGGGGACCCCGTTTTGTAAAAATCGGGGCATCGCATGTCTTAGCAGGCACCGTACTGCGTTGGCGTCTCCCGAGGCGTCGTCGATCCTCAACCCAGGAACAATAGAGTGAATAGTTTTGCGGCCCTCGGAGCCGAGAAATTGTGCGCCGTACCGCGCTGGAATGGGGCCTGAAGGCCTGAAGGGGTCTCTGGGATTCCAGACATGGTTTGGTGCATGGTTGCCGCCGCATAACCAGCTGACGCTGGTCATTCCCCAAGCAGTGTAAGTCAGCGTGGCTCGAGTTCGGGATGGCTTCTTCGTTCTCTGTCGAGACCGCCATGTCCGCTGGTCGCGCAACCGCACGCATTCGCTGGGTCCCAGATCGGCGTCACTCGTGGCACTGCCACTGTGGTCTGCTGGCGCCAGTGCGCGTTCATCAGCAAAAACAAGGTAGGCATTTTCGACTTCGTACCTTGACTGAGGCGCTGGGCACAGCGCCTGGGCCAGGCACGGCCTCGGACAGTCGGCCGGGGAAATGGGTTGTCGTCAGCGGGAGGCGAGCGGGGACAGTCGGGGACGTGGCCGGCCGAGTTTTCTTTTTTGTTGCAGCGGATGGCAAGCACCAAGGCCAGGCGCAGTGGAGGACGGGGCAGGCCTAAGGACACGGGCCGCAGCGGCTGGGGACCGTCGGGGAGTGAGCTTTGGCAGCCGGCGGCATGCACCAGGCCCGGAGGCAGTCGGCGAGTGCGCTGGCCAAGGACGCTGGCACACAGCTGAGGGCACTCACCAAGGCCAGGGAGAGTACAGTACCGTTTTTAATACATGCTCCGCGTGCGGATCATGTATTAAAAATGCAGGGACTTAGTGTTAAAAACAACGATGAGTTCAGGCATACATTTGTTCACACATTAATTACGCATTAGAAATCATATATGTTTAAACATCATATGTATTAAAAATTGCCCTGTAGGGGCACGGGCCGGGTAAGAGCGTCGGTGCCGACGGAGGACGTGCACCGGGGCCAGGAACGGTCGGAGGCGGGGGCCGGGCAAGGAAGGGAGTGCAAGGGCGGAGGGCGAGCACGAACGCCAGCCCCAGAACCATCAAGGGATGCTCCCCCCTCCTCCTCCCATTCCTCCTCCTCCTCCTCCTCCTCCTCCTCCTCCTCCTCCTCCTCCTCCTCCTCCTCCTCCTCCTCCCCCCTCTGTTGCCTTCTCTCCGGGAGGGTGGCGGGGAGAGCAGCGCTCCCGGAGGCGAGAGATTCAGTGTCCCCCCCTTCGGCGGCCACAGAGTGGAACCCACGACGTCACATGGCTTACGACAGCGTTAGACAAGGCATGGTGGGATCGACGCGGAGATGGTTTTGCCAATGTCTCCAGACAGCAACGCGAAGGAGCTATGAAGGCTGAGCAGGTGGGCGGCCACGGCCGCCGCCCAGCGCAGGCCGCTGGCCGGCCCGTTCCCCTGCGGGGGCGACTCGGGCGCCGTTCGTTCGTCCCCCTCGGTATGATGCTCTGCTCGGGTTCGTAGCCTTTTACTATGTGCGCGAGGTGGAGACCTGCCTCAGGCGATCTTGCGCCGATCAATAACTGCTTGTTCTTGACCGCGCGGTGTTTAAGTTGCGTAGTTCTTGAAATCACATCTAGGGATGCGACCAAAGACTGAGCCGTCGAGGAAGTATTCCCTGTGCAAGCGGGAGACCTGTCAGTGCAAGCGTGGCTTGGGGAATGATGAGCCCATGCTTCTAGGGCCCGCGGGATACAGTGACATCATTGTTCCTTCAGGGACGTATAGCATTTTGCGACGATGTAGAGCATGAGCTCAGAGTTTGACCAGCAACCCGAGCCGAGCAGCACCATCAATGGACTTCAGAAATGTCAGCGTCACGTGGTGGATCCTCCACCCTGTTGATACAACCTCCACGTGGCTTCAATGTTTAACGGCTTCAAGGTTGGGGGTGCATCCACTGTGAATGAAGGTAACGATTGGCTCGAGACCAAACATGCACGAGCGGTTTGCGCCGTCCAGGGCTGCCCTGCGTGTTGTGACAAGTTCGAGGCAGCATGAGATGTTGCAATACTGTGCTAGGATCTCCACAGGTCTTGAACACTTTGAGACTCTTCAAGAGTCTCGCACAGTGCTACTCTGTTTCACTCCCACGCTCTCCTGTCCGATGCGCGCATGTGCAAGCCCAAACATGTTGACTGGCAAAAGCCTACACGACAGTTCTTGCCAGCCTCGGCATCAGTGCATAACTATTTGCCCATTTCGTGTTTGATTACATCTAGATCCTGCTCGCCCAGTCCATGTATGTACTTCGGCTCCACCTCCCTCCCCGTCAGGAAGACCACAGGGAAGCCAAGGAAGGAAGCAGAG